TTTGCCTAAATGTTAGCTCAAAAGTTAAGTTAAGTGGCTACGGATAGCATGTGAAGTGATTACAGATGAAGCGTGAAACGGATGCAATTGTGACCAAAGAGCTGCATCCTCCCCTAAAACACTTATACCTTTGATCCTGCAATTTTACCGCATGTGATATCGTTCAATTGCACGCGTGCTGTGTGAATGCATTGCTCCTGAAATGAGTGTTATGTGAGAGCTAAAGTCAGATTCGAGCCTAATCAAGCCTCCTCTTGCTCGGTGGTACTTCTCGTCCTCCCCCCTCTAATACTATCCAACAGTCACAAGAAGTTTCCACTTAACTTCCTACACTCACTACTTCTATTCAGGATGTTGGTGGTTTTGTTGATTTCTATCGCCCCCCTAATATTTTGCTTACTGATATAATAAAAAAATGATGAGGTGCCTACAAGTAATTTTCCAGCTTTAGGAGCAAGTACGAACGTCCAATGCTAAATGATTTTTAGCTATGCAGATGAAATCCGAAGAAAGTATAATTAAACGCCAGAATATATTCAAGGTGTAGAATTGATCGTACAAGAATATAGATTGGATAGCTACTAGAAATAAACTCGGCTTATTTCTACTCTTGATGGCAAAAAGAAAATTAAGCCCTAATTATAAGCCGATTGAAAAACATCTATCTAATCAACCTCGCGTAGTGTCTTACACGTAAGAAAAAAACATTCGCTTGAAGTCCTCGGAGCAAAGAAAAAATTGAACGAAATCACTAAAGCTAAGACCACTATACCCTCTTAATGAGTCATGACAAAATAACAAAAGTGATCAGTATTAATTTTAATCATTAATAATTTTCGCAACGGGCAAAAATCTCGATTTTTCCCGAAGATTAATTACACAAATATTTAAAAGTCCCTATTGCAGTCGGCTCATACACTTTGTCAAACTTTTTTTTACTTATATGAGACTAAAAAGGTCCCTTAAATTGGCATCTTATGAATTTCGTTTATTCATGGATTAATTGAGAAGATTTATATATTAAAATTATTAACTGGAAAAAGGTAAATGATCTGCTATAAATCCTAAGAAAATCTGACCATTAAAAAAGTATCCAGGAAAGTTATAAGACCAATTATAGCAGTGATAGTAGATATTAAGGCCAAGATGTAGTCTTAGGCTGTCGGAGTATCCTTTCACTGTATAGAGTTGGTACATTTTCACGACCAATTTGCGAAAATAAGGTTAAACTAAAATGGGCAGAGAACAGGTGCATGAAGCACCGAGGAGGACTGTTAGGAAGAGCCTGCGAGTCAAGAGAAATCCTTTAAGGAGTGTTCAAGATGACAAAAAACTTGTGATCAATCCATCAAATAACCAGATATTCATATTTATTTGCGAAAGTCAAGTATTCTAATGCATTTAGGTTCAGTCGTCGGTTCATTCACGATTAGCAATCTGGCTGGGGTTAATTTAATTGTTTAATATTCCAGAACAACTGATCACTCCTCTTCAATGGGTAGAAAAATAGCATCTTTTTTAGAAATATATAGATAACTTAAACCGTTCTTAGCAAGTCGAGTCTAACTCAAAGAAGAAGACTCACCTTGAATGTGTCAAATGCAGTATTCTGTTCATGAATAAGCATGATAAAGAGACTGGCAAGAGCCAGGGGCAGACAGACGATAAGACCGAGAATAGCCCACCACTTGGCAGCTGTCACCGCCTCGGTGGCTACAAGAGCAAGAAAAGCGAGTCCAGTGGCACAGCAGACAAAGATAGCCAACGCAGTTAGGGGGGCTACGCCGGGTGTAGAATTGCGCAAAACGGGAAGGTGCCTAAAAGCCGATTTCAGTCGGCCGATCGAATGGGGCCATATTGAGTAAAAATCATCTATCTCAGCATCAGAGTGAAATCCATTAGCGTTACTGGGCCTTAGGTCACCCGATACGCCAATGGAGTCTAGGGTTTCTGCATGAACACCTGGAATAGTTGGAATAGCAGACGGCCTTTCGCCATTAATTTGATCCTCTTGGGTTCCACTGTTGATCCCATTCGACTGAAGATAAAGGAAAAAGAAAATGAGGAGGCATTTTGGAAAGAACAAGACAAAATTAATCGTGATATCCTCGCTTAAAAGGTAATTTTCCAGTAAACGGTCACAAATGAGATATTAGCGGATCAAAAGCAACAAATTGGCCCTCATAAAAGCTCAACAAGATGAGCCAAGTGTTTCTCAGTACCTTGAAGTAAATCTGTCAACCTTTAATCAGCAAACCCAAACGTAAATCATAAATAATTTGACGTTTAATTTAGGATTTTGTGACAAAAAAGGAATAACTGGCCCTAAAGAAAGACTTGAGGCCAGAGAAGAAATTTGCAATTTAAAGTGATTGTAGGAAGGCATTACCCCAAAGCGACAAAAATTAATCCAAAGACTAAGAAGAGATAACGAGGCAGGATGGGCATCGGTGCTTGGGAAAGTTAAATCATTTAATTTAATTTCCC